ATATATAAAGACTAAAACAATATATTTCTTTTGAAGCTATAGGAACTAAAAATATAAATTTTATGTTTAAGAGACAAAAAAGTAATTACCCTAAATTTAGAGGACTAAAAATATAATTAAAACTAAATATAAACATATACTCCTTTTTTTGTATCAACTCTTTTTCTTTCCCATTTTTTCTATTTCTATTCGTTGTTCACCATATTACTTATATTACGTTATTTATTTTAATATTATTCTATCTTTATTTGGCATAATTAAAATAATAAAAATTTATTACTTCATGCCATTTTTTTATTTCAATTTTTTCTAACTTAAATGATCATTTTAAATTAAAATTTGTTTGATAAAAAGTATTAATTTAATTTTAAAATAGTACATAATCAAAGAATAATGAACAGACTTATAAGTCATAAACTTCATGCTATTTTTATTTTTTACATTTTAAGGAAAATAAAAATTTAGAATTCATAATTTTCATATTATAAAAATAATATTTAAATTAAATTTAAATAAATTTGTTCATTTCTGTAAAATTCAGAATTTTTTATTTAACATTCCATTTTAGTTATTATTAAATGAACTCTTGGTTGATTTTTATTTTTTTATTTTATTAACAGTTAATTTTTCTTATATTCTTCGTCTCATGTGATTATTTTCACTTAATTACTAAAATATAAAATAAAAGCTATAACTTATATTTTAAAATAAACACTCACTACTAGAAAAATGTCATTTTTCTACGAATTTTCCTACAAAAAAATATTGTAGATTTTTTTGCTAATTTTCTAGTAATAAAAATTTTATTAAAAAAATTTGCAAATTTATTTGTGAAAAATAATTTACAGAAATTTCTTACAAATGTTTTATGAAAAATAATCCAATTTTTTTTTTTTGCAAATTTCGCTATAATTTTAATGATCATAGAAATTTTTTTCCATCGTAAAAATTTGTAAAAAATATTGTAATAATTTTATCTTGTTTCTTGCGAATTTTCTTGTAAAAATAAATTCGCAAGTAATGTTTATTAAATGGTAGAAAAATTTTGTAGGTAATTTTTCTTGTAGATTTTCCTTCCAATTTT